AAGCAGTATGGAGGTTCCTCAAAAAATTAAAAATGGAACTGCTGTTTGACCCAGTGATTCCACTCCTAGGAATGTATCCTAAGAATCCTGAAACATTCATCAGAAAGAATCTATGCACCCCTATGTTCATAGCAGCACAGTTTACACTAGCTAAGACTTGGAAACAGTCCAAGTGCCCATCAGCAGATGAGTGGATAAAAAGCTGTGGGACATTTATACCATGGAATACTACGCAGCTGTAAAGAAGAATAATCTCATACCATTCAAGCAGATATTTCAAAAGCTCCTGATGTGTACTGCAAAACTGACTCCCAAGGATGTTGTACCAAGTTCCAGTCCCACCTGCAGTGGACAAGAATATTTACTTTCAACTGTAATTAGGGGCCAGGNGGGATTTTTTTTTTTTTTTTTTTTAGTGTTCAATATATGAATAACTTAAGAAAAGACAAACTTGGGCCCTGTGGGTGTAGAAACCTTTGCTCCAGCTGCTCATCTAAATTCCATGAACCTCTGAAGCTTAAGAGCACACTGATCACTACAGTTTTACCTCCTGCTTTGGTGAAGGAGACACTCCTTTCTTGGTTTTCATCTTTTAAACACACAATCACAATTTTAAAGGTCACTTCTAAGGATAAGAGCAGAATGAGGAGGTTTTGGCATGAGATCACCAGCATCATTCCCAAAGTCTATTCTGAATCCTGACAGCTATATTTTCTAGCTTTTATACTGAGACATTTTCATAATCACATATTGGTGTATTCAGGTATACAGGGTGGGGCAAAAGTGGGTTTATGGCTGTTGGTTTGGAAAATAACTAATAAATAATAACACAAGAATAAACTCTGTTTCATGTATTCAAAACTGTAAACCTACTTTTGCCACACCCCATATATTTGTTTATAAGAGCTTGGGTGAAATGTGTGTGTGTATATATGTGTTATATTTCTCTTTATAAAAGCTTGACTGTAGAGAGCTCTCTACTAAGAACCGGTTTTTGACCTCCGGAAGGGGGTGTGGACCCCCTGGTTGTCCCGACATTCACCAAGCTGTTGGAGTCACCCCCTCAAAGCTCAGGCTGGGGGATGGACAATGTGAATTTGCGTTGGGTGTACAAGGACATGCAGCAGTCTGAGGGGCGTGAGAAGCAAGCCAGGAGCAGAGGTGGTGTGCAGAGCAATGTGACACTTGGTGCAGAAGCCACTGTGTGGGACTCCCTTTACAGGTAAAGCTTCCTGTATGCCCCAGTGCGTGTCAGATCTAAAGTGTGTCTAAGCTGCCCCAAGGACCAAGCTCCAGGGGGCCTTCTGCTTGACACAGAATCTGTGTGAACCTGAGAATTTAAAAAATGCCACTGGCTCACCAAGATAAAAGAGTGAAAAGAGTTTATGCCCCAGGCAGTCTCTGACTTTATTTATTACCCCTTTGAATTCGAATGCAGTAAGGGCTGCCCTCCTGCCAGGTTCCTCATCATTGCAACAGTGGTTCAGAAGGGGGAGGAACGAGTTGGCTCTCTGTGTTTTCCTTCTGTGAGGGCCTACTTGCCCAGTACTGAAAAGTTTGGGTGG